AAAATTAGCTTTCTCTCCACCCTGGCCATTCAAATGTTTGAAGACATATACACTTTTCTTGTGATTTATGTCTTCATCCAGTTAAAAGCATGCAGCTTCTTCTGTTGTCAGTTGCAGGCTCCTCGAGAGCAGGGTGCTATCTTCTCGTGTCTGTGTGCCCAGTCCTTACAGTGCCTAGCTCATTTGGATTCCTCACATTTTCTTATGGAATGAATGAATAAATTCTACTTTTATCATTTCCCCCTAAGTCATATCTCTTTAGACACATGCAGCCCAAATCTTTCCTAAAACAGATTGGCCAGAACATTTTTAAATTTTACGATTTCTTTTTTTTTTTTTTTTCCCCACAAGATGACGTCTCGCTCAGTCGCCCAGGCCAGAAGTGCAATGGCGCGATCTCGGCTCACTGCAACCTCCACCTCCTGGGTTCAAGTGATTCTCCTGCCTCAGTCTCCTGGGTAGCTGGGATTACAGGTGCCCACCACCACGCCCGGCTAATTTTTCTTTTGAATTTTTAGGAGAGACAGGGTTTCACCATGTTGGTCAGGCTAGTCTCGAACCCCTGACCTCAAATGATTCATCCCCGCCTCAGCCTACCAAAGTGTTGAGATTATAGGCATGAGCCACCATGCCCAGCCAGTTTTCTCTTCTTTTTACAAAAATAATACATCTTCATTCTAGAAAGCGTGTATCAACAACAACAAAATCACCAAACAGCCCAATGCCTGGGAATGAAAACTATTAGTATTTTGATTTATATTTCTCTTAGTTTTTCTTCTGCATATATGTATGTGTGTGTGTGTGTATATATTTTTAATATACATTTTTCATCAGAATGAGATGCAATTTTAAAACCTACTTTTTATGCTTAACAAAACCTCATGGGCGTCTTTCCAAGACAATATACCTGAATATGCCATGTCATTTTTAAAAGTTATTTTGTAATTCAACTGATACAGAAAAACAGGAAAGTACACAAGCCCTAAGTATTCTGTGTGATGAAATTTCACTAATTGGATGCATCTATCTTACCAAGATGCAGATCGGGAAATTGAACATGACCAGAACCTCAGAAGTCTCTCTGTGTCTCCTCCTCATCACTACTCCCTGCAAAGATCACCGTAGACATTTTCTATTTCCATAAATGGAATCACACTGCAGCTATTCTTTTGTATATGTCTTCTTCCAGCACATCATTTTAATGACTGCATCCTATGCCTTTATATTGCTGTAATATAATTCATTCAGTTTATACCTATTGTGGTATTTTCACGATATATTATTTTTTTCCTTTTTTTTGCTTTCATTAAAACTTCTGTAATGAGGCCTGTCTCTGTCTCAGCTGGGGCAGCCATCTTGCTCTTGCTGCATGCTCGTGTTGGAGGACCCTCTCTGCTTCAGATTTACCAACAGCATGAATCAAGAAAACTTAGCCAAACTTCAGGCTCAGGTCCGGATAGGGGGCAAGGGTGCAGCTCGCAGAAAGAAGAAGGTGGTATATAGAACAGCTGCAGCTGATAACAATAAGCTTCAGAGTTCTATGAAAAAACTAGCTGTGAATAGTAGAGCTGGTATTGAAGAGGGGAACATGATTAAAGATGATGGGACGGTTCTTCATTTCAACAATCCCAAAGTCCAGGCTTCCCTTTCTGCTAACACCTTTGCAATTACTGGTCATACAGAAGCCAAACCAATCACAGAAATGCTTCCTGGAATATTAAGTCAGCTTGGTGTTGACAGCTTAGCAAGCCTTAGGAAGTTAGCTGAACAGTTCCCACGGCAAGTCTTAGACAGTAAAGCACCAAAACCGGAAGACACTGATGAGGAGGAGGATGATGTTGCACATCTTGTAGAAAATGTTGATGAGGCATCAAAGATGAAGCTAACTAAAATTTTGGTTTTTGGAAGCTGGCACGGACTAGATTTAACAAATCAGCTATGTAGTTCCAAAGTTTTACAGACGCAGAGAAGAAGATTACCTGTTACTAGTTATTAGTTCAGTTATATGAATATTTTATATATTAATAATGCTGTTTGTTCAGCATTTTTTGGTCATTTTATTTTGCATTTTGCATTTCCTCCCAAGATATTTTTTTGGTCAAAATATGAAGTATTGGTGCAGTGTGAGAATGTTTTGGTTTTTGAAAGAAAAAAATATTCTGTAATGAGTACCTATGTAACTAAAACAGTGATTTTTTTCTCTTTAGGTTAAATTCACAGATATGAATCAAACTTTTAAGATTTTTTAACTTATATTACCAAATTCCCCTTCAAAAAATGTGTGCCCATTTTATGTTCCCATCACTATGTATAAGACTTCCAGTTTCCATGATGTGGTCTAGAATGAAACATAAAACCTCAGATGTAATCCAGCTAACATTCACACTGAATGCCTCACTTCCCTTTACTGTACACAGATAAACTGCAAGCACAGATATTCTCCAAGTTCTCTGACAAAGACATAAGTTAGAGTGACAGTGCTAGAAATGACCTTGGAACAAGACACTTATTTTCCATCAACAAGCTTATTTTCAGGTGAGAATCCACAAGCCAAAAGAGGTAAGATATCAGAGCAGACAGATTCCCAAAGAAAATCAAACTAGAAAACCACATGTAGGAAAAAAGCAACAGAGAAACAAAACAAAGTGTGTCTTTAGCAATTACCTATGGGGAATGGAACTATTTTTCTTCTTCTTTTTACTTTTCTGAAAGGAACATATCTTTCCCAGTAGAGAAAAAAGTATTTCTTTAAAAGAAAAGGGGACATGGTGGCACACACCTGTAATCCCAGCACTTTGGGAAACCGAGGGAAGTGGATAGCTTGAGGCCACGAGTTTGAGACTAGCCTGGCCAACATGATGAAACCCTGTCTCTACTAAAAATGAAAATAAAAAATTAGCTGGGCATAGTAGTGCATGCTGCATGCCTGTAATCTCAGCTTCCCAGGAGACTGAGGCACAAGAATGAATCACTTGAACCTGGGAGGTGGAGGTGGCAGTAGCAGTGAGCTGAAATCAGCAGCCTGGCCAACAGAGCAAGACTGTCTCCAAAAAAAAAAAAAGAAAGAAAGAAAAAAAACCTTAATAAATGAAGGAAAAATAGAAAGGAAGAAGTAAATTTGTAAGTTTCCTACAATACACACTTAATATATGCCTGAGGCCTACTAAGACCTAGTACAAAGTAGGCTCAAAAATAGGAAAAATGGCATGTTTAGAAATCTGGAAGAGGCAGGAACTCTAGAACAATGAATTCCAAGAATGCCAGCAGAGCCTGAGTGAAGCAACTTTTGAAAAGCAGCTCTGGTCTGTCGATTTGAAAAAACAAATGTACTTGATGAGCTGGGTCTGGAATAGGCCCTGGAGACCTCTGGCTGAAGCAACAAAGGATCGGTGTTTGATAGGTTATTGGTTGTGTGGTGTTTTTTTTTCTTTTTTTTTTTTTTTGTGGTTTTTATATTTTTTTATTTTTCTGTAAATCTGTATTCGGCTGAAAGGACAGGTGATTTAATGGCGTTTTCTTATGAGCAGTTTGGAAATCCTGCCTCTGTCTCTGTTTGGAGGTAGGGTTAGGGTGAAGATGGGGTTAGGGTGCTGTGAACTATAAGAGGTCACCAGCTTCATGGGGTAGAAACATTTAGGAACCACCACCAACAGGCACCAGGAAAGCTGTGGAGTTTAGTAGTACCAGGGCACAGTTAGCCCTTGGCACGGTTTCTTCATCTGTTATAGTATTACGAATAGTACTTGCTTCAAATAGCCTGCTCTTTCCTCTCACCTGAGACCTGAACCTTCTGCATTTTCTGTCCATGTAAGAGCAGGAGTCATGGCATTTGGTTTCAGAGTCTTGTCTTAATGAGGGATTTCACATCTTGCTGTGGCTGTGGTGGGTGTTGGCTGAATGAATTGTAAAATCATAGACTGTTAGTTAGCACAGAGATGAAATCACATCCCTAAAGTCTACTATTCTTAGTTAATAAGTGGGCCAGGCGTGGTGACTCACACCTATAATCCCAGCACTTTGGGAGGCTGAGGTGGGCAGATCACTTGAGGCCAGGAGTTCGAGACCAGCCTTGCCAACATGGCGCAACCCCATCTCTACTAAAATTACAAAAATTAGTTAGGTGTGGTGGCACAAGCCTGTAATCCCAGCCACTAGGGAGTCTGAGGCAGGAGAATCACATGAACCCAAGAGTCGGAGGCCGCAGTGAGCCAATATCACACCACTGCACTCCAGCCAGAGTGACAGAGTGAGACTCAGTCTCAAAAAAAAAGTTAATAAGTGATGGGGCCTGATAGGGTTGCCAGATTTAACAAATAAAAGTACAAGAGCCATTGTTAGATCTGAATTTTAGGTAAACAGTGACATGGCATTTAGTATTAAGTCTCACGCAATATTGAACTGGGCGTCCTGTGTTTCATCTGGCCGCCTGGTGGGGCCTTGATGAAAGCTCAGCTGCCAGTGACCACGGAGGCCTGTCTGATTTCCAGAAAGACAGGCCAGAAGGACCCCACATGGGGGAAGCTGTGGAGTTCAGTAGTACCAGGGCACAGTTAGCCCTTGGCACGATTTCTTCATCTGTTATAGTATTACGAATAGTACTTGCTTCAAATAGGTGTTGTAAGAATAAAATAATTACACATAAAGCAGATATTTATTAGATAAAATATCAAGCCAAAAGTATTGTGACTTTTATCTGAATAGTCTGCAATGACTTTTCAAACAAATTTGGCCTCTCAACTATATTGTTGGTGCAAAATAGGCCACAGTTCCTCTACTAGTCTCTCCAGCTTTATGCTAAGAAAACCAAAAACTCCCCTCATCTGCAAGACAGGTATGGCCCTGATTTTGATAAGGCAATAAGGATTTGTATTAACCATCATAATAACTATTCATTCATGATAGAGCCACTATCTTAGCATTATTATGTTGTAAATATAAAAAGAAAAATCAACAAAAACTTCCTGCAGTGACATTGGGGAGTTCACAGCAAATTGCCTCCTTTAGATTACCTAATCTAGAAGTTCCGAATCAGGCTAATCATCAGAATCACCTTGGGAATTATCCTTTTTTATTATGAAAATATTTCGAACATACAGCGAAGCTTAAAGAATAATACAGTGAACACATGTATACCCAACACCTAGAGTCTCCAGTTAACATCTTACTACAAGTTGGGTATCCCTAATCCAAAAACCCAAATTCCAAAATGTTCCAGAATCCTAATCTTTTTGCGTGCCAACATGATGCTCAAAGGAAATGCTCATAGCAACATTTGGGGTTTTGAATTTCAGGATTTGGGATTCTTAACTAGTAAGTATATGCAAATATTCCAAAATCCCCAAAAAAATAAAATTTAAAACACTTCTGATCCCAAGCATTTCAGATAAGAACTGCTCCAACCTGTATATCTTGTCTTGTTATGTATCTGTTCTTCTATTCATCCAATACATCTTTTTTTCTTGTACACGTCAAAGTAAATTGCAGATGTCTGTACACTTTCCCTGGTGAATTTTCTAAAACTATAAGTTTCTAGGCCTCAGCCCAGAAATGTACAGGTCTACTAATTCAGGAATTTTTCCAAACAATCCCCAGCTTCACTCTGGTAACCATACTGATGGAGCCCTTATTACCCAAAACACTACCAGTCTCATGGCAAAGTGAAAAGACCTGGCACACTGTGTGTCGGATGTAAAACTTCTGCTAAAAAATGATAGCATCTGCCTCTGCCCACATTTCATGGGCCATAGCAAGTCCCTTGGAACTCTTAAATTCAAATGGTTGGGACAGACCAGGCAGGGTGGGAGGCCAACATAGGCGGATTACCTGAGGTCAGGAGTTCGAGACCAACCTGGTCGACATGGTGAAACCCCGTCTCTATGGAAAATACAAAAAATAGCCAGGCATGGTGGTGGGTGCCTGTAATCCCAGATTCTCAGAAGGCTGAGGCAGGAGAATCGCTTGAACCCAGGTGGCGAAGGTTGCAGTGAGCCAAGATCGCACCATTGCACTCCAGCCTAGGTGACAGAGCAAGACTCCATCTCAAAAAAAAAAAAAAAAAAAAGAAGATGGTGGGGATGAGTAACCCTTCCACAGGCACAGGGAGAAGCACTGTGAAAGGAAAGCTTGAATATGTAAGAAAGTAATACAGTCTAACACAGGGAGCCACTCATTTAATTCAGCCTCTTCTCTTTACAGACAGGCAAGCTAGCATCCAAAGAGGCAAAGTGACTCTCCCAGGATCACTCTGCTAGTTCAAAGCAGAAGTAGTCAAGAACCAAGATCTCCTAATTGCCTTTCTTGTCATGTACAGGGTTGCCTCTGTGAAGCTCACGGATAGATAGTTCATCATTCATTAATTGATATACTATACACAGGCACTGATAAATAAGGCACAGTTTCTGCTGTCAAGACATTCCCAGTCCCATATAAAGTTTTTCCATAGAACCTTCAGCTGACCCTTGCATATTTCCACATATTCCCCTAATAACCTGAAGCAGTCAGTGCACTTCAGAACTAATAAAGATGTCTTTGAGGATAAAGATCTGTTTTTCTCAATTGTTTTCGGTCCAAGAGTGTCAGTTCCAGCAACAGCCTGCTGATCCCGGCACAGTGATGCAGTTCTTCCCAGATGGAGAACGTTTCGAGTGACTCATGGGCCCAGACTGGTTGAGAATCATTCCTAGGGCACAATCAGTTCATGATCTGTTGGCATAATAGCTTTTCTCAGAAAAGAGCCGTTCAGTCACAAAGACCTCAGCCCAACATAGGGACCGATTTTCATTTAGGGAGAAAGGAATATTTCAACAGGAAGAAATATGATAGATTTCTAAAATAGAATGGTTATCTAGGAATAAGATTGTTTGATTTGCAAAAGATAATCGATCTTCTCACAAGCCATAACTGGGGAGAATATGCATCTTTGAAGCTGTTGAAACAGTACCACGATATAGAACTGCTGTGTCCAACCTTTGTAAGCTCATAGAATTTTGCTGGAAG